ATGTGGCACAAAGCTGTAAGTATGGAGAAGTCAGTGAGGATTGAACTTGCTACTCAGTTGTATTTGGTCTAATGAGTCAAACTTTCTAACCATTACATCAAAGTTTCCTGAACTTATATAAGGAAATGATTTTAGATTATAGTTTTGGAAATTTTGATATTAGAATGAAATTTTTGACCTCTTGACAAATGATCAAACTGCAGGGTTTTTTCTTTTTTACCAGCTGTATTATACCAGGTAAGATTTATTAGATTAAGGAATTTCAGTGCTTTAATATCTGAAACTCTCTTTTGGTCTTTGCAAGATAAATATTGATATTATTCTACATGAACCTAGGCATACAAAGGGTGTGTTTGTGCTACAGGGCAAACAAATTGTATATTTTCAAGAGGGGTATTTTCAGGGCAGCTAAAATGTTTTCAAGGCAAATTGCTTCTACTTCCTGCTGTAAAATTCCCTATTGTATGTCTATATAATTGAATGCAGGGTGGCCCCAAATTTTATTTACTCTATTACTATCTTATAAATTCAGTTACAGTTCATCTCCCATTGGAACGGGAACTGTTTCTTGAGTCTCTAGATTGTTCTTACATGTGCTTCCGCCATTAACTATTAAACTCGGTTATCTCTTTTTTTCTTTATTGTTACCCTTCCTTTTATGACTATTGCTTCCTAGATAGAATTTCTGACAGTATAAATAAGGCCCTCTCTCTACCCACCATTGGCAAATATCTTTGTGTTTGACAACTTCAATGTCCATCATGTCAAGTGACTTCATCACACTAATGTCACTTACCTCACTGGCATCCAGATTTGAACTTCTCAATTACACAATCTCTCACTCAAATAGTAGAGATTATCTAGTAATTCTGGCATACACATCTCTCTACATGATCTCTTCCTTAACTCCTCCCCAGACTCATGCCATGCTATATTCTCTTGGCAACTCCAACCATGCAGTAGTGTCTGTATATATCTATTTCTGCGCTCCCATCAGGCATTAACCCCCTTATTAATAGAACATATTTCTGTTATCAACATACTGATTGGGGCTCATTCACTAATTTTCTTGATAATGCTCCTTGCAATGATATTTTTAATCATTCTGTTGAGAAATGTGCCACTGAGATCTCTTCTTGGATGAAATCCAATATACCAGAGTGACAGGATCGATTATTAACATCTGTCTCTTTGTCACCGGTCATAATGAGTGTAAGCATGTCCTAAAAGAGGCAAAGTCACTACTCACTGATAGAATGAGTCACCATATAGCCTTACACTGGTTTGGTTCTAGATATTACTGGTAGATCTGTAAAAGTATACCGAACAAGAGCAAATACTCAGTCCTTGCTCTCCCTAATCAATTTATCTACTACAGAGAAAGCAGAATGCTTTGCTTGGAAATTCTCTTCCAACTCCACTCTCAACTTATCTTGAGTATTTCTGCCTGATTTTTCCCCTCAAACAGTTTCTCTATTCAGTGATATGCATGATTTTTGCTATTATTTCTAAACTAGATTCTCACAAGGGTTGTGGTATCCTTGCAATTGTCCTAAAGAAATGTGCTGCTGAATTGGCTCCTGTTCACTCCAAACTTTATAATAAATGCCTTTCTACTTTTTGCTTTCCAGCCTGTTGAAAGTCCTCCTTTGTAGTTTCTGGTTTTAAGAATTCTGGGCAACCTTTTGCCTCCTCAAATTATTGTCCTATGACTATTTTTTGGCAAATACTAGAGTATCTAATCTACACTGAATTGGTTAAGCATCTTCTTTCACATGGCTTACCTTCAAATAAACAATATGGCTTTCATTTCACCAAGTCTACCACTGATGTGTTAATGGCTATCACTGAATTTGTCTCAAGGGCTATGGTGCCTCTGGATGAATATTTGGCTTAATTCAATTATTCCTAATAAAATGTGTAATGAAGGTTGTGTTAAACAAACATGCTTCTAAATCATTTCACATTAATGCTGGAGATCTTGGATCTACATTGTTTATTAACTTTATTAACAACCTTCCTGATGTCATTAGTTACTGACAAGGTATTTATGCAGATGTCACAACTATTTACTCCTGTCATTAACAATTCTGATTGATTCAACAAAGTAAAAGGACCTCCAATCAGTAGTTAATTGGTTCAAGGAATGACTTGTAAATTTCAATACCTCCAAAACAAAACTGCTTTCATTTAATCACCATAGAGAACCTTTTCTGCCTGTCATCTGCATGGCTGATGCTAACTTCCAGGAGAGCAACTGTTTGCAACTTCTTGGGCACATGTTTTCCACTGACATGAAATGAAGTGATTATATTGAATTAATTGCTAGGTCTACTGTTTGAAAGTTGGCTCACTGTGTCATGGCAGACAATTTTTCTTTTTAGAATACATCTTGCACATTTATAAACCTACCATTCATTCGTGCATTGAATACTATTGCTATATCTGGCCTGGTGCTCCTACTATATATCATGAGATTCTTGACAAAAGGGTTTGTAATGTAATCAATCCTGAATTGACATCTTGACTTCAGTCACTTTGTCCCTGATGTGAGGTGGCTTTGCTCTGTCTTTTCTACAAATATTTTCATGGTAATTATTCTCCTTGGTGTCTTGACTGCATAAATTTAAGCATGATACTAGATTGGCAACTAAATTTTACTGTTGAACTAGCTAGATGCAACAATCAGTTCTATTCTAATAGTTTCTTTCTTATACCTTTTTCTTGTGGATCTCCCTTCTGATTTCTTGCTTCTCTGGCACCTACAATCTTCAAAAATGTAAATGTAACATCAATCATGGTTTTCTGTCTGCTGAATCATGTTCCTTTATTGTCCTTTCCTCACTTTTTCTCACTAAAATCTTCACATTCTATTTCACTTCTTGTAACTCCTTGCATTTGAGTAGCATTACTGCCTTGCTTGAGGTGAAATGGTTAAAAATACACAGTTCTTATTGCTTAGCTTGCATATGCATTTTAGCTTTACTTTTGTAAATTTATGTATTTTTATTCATTTTTTATTTTATATTTTAATTTTTTTTTATTTTATAGCAAATTGGGCCACTTTGCATTTGTGATACTAAATGCTGTTTAGTTTTTTAGTTGAACATGCCAAAGTATAACCTGTAGTTGTAGGCTTAAGCAATCAAAACTCTATATAGAAAAGATATTTTTTATAAAAGATTGACTGCTGAAAGAACTTTCTCTGCATCTTTGTTTCTAATTTGAATGGTTATGCTGATTTGCATATATATATGTCTGCAGGATATACTCAAATGTTAATATGACTGCAAAATAAATCAAGTTTCATTATTTCTCAGCTAATTTATGTATTGGAGTGTCAAATTTTAAATTGATCTAAAATTAGATTTTAACATTTGCTTACAATCAATATATACTTATTAGATAGACATAATAAAAAAAAATTGAGACATATGCATACTTTGTAAGTCAGTTCCAGCTAATTTTTGGATGGTTTGCCTACCAATATCATTTACTTCAATGCAATATACCTCATAAATGCACCTACTGAAATCTATTAATATGTACACATTCCTGTATTTAAAATCATTGAGAATAATCATTTCCCTAATAGTATTATTTTTGTGAAGATGTTTCTTCATTAAGAATTTTTGTATGTGTTATTTTTCTTCATTAATACCAACTGTTGGCAAAAGTGAATTAAAATGATTTTCATTGAAAATACTGAAATTGAAAATTTGAAATGACTTCAACTGAATGAGCCAAAGATTTAAATCTTTTAAAAATATATTGAATATTTTTAAACTGTGGACTTAAATGATATAAATGTAGAGTTGATATATTTAGAATTTTACTGAGAACTAGCATTTTGATAAAAGTTGGTATACAATAAGAAATGCAGCAGTGACTACAATAATTCAGAATGATTTTAACTGTCTAAAAGTAGGGTGAAAGAACATAAAACACGTACTTTCTAAATTAACTTTTGTTGATTTAGTTAACCAGAATTTTACACATATTTATTTGGTGAAAAATATAATTTAATCACACAGTGAATGTTTTCTTATTTTGTTAACTCATGTGCAGTAGTAAAAGTGTATGTGGGACATTTTCTTGCTTTTAAATCATTGCTATATTATAAATGCAGCAATACTTAGAAATCAACTGGTTTGTTTATTTTCTTTCACAATATGGGAAAGTTGTACACTTATATATTTTTATTTGTATATTAGTTGTATATTTGATAGTATACAAGTATGTCATGTTAAAATACATGTGTGGCATCAAAGCAGTGAAATTGTTATAATATTGGCTGTTGTTTGGTGTTGGAAACTTGTCATTAATCATTATGTGGTTACTTAGGAATATTAAATGTTAAAGCAAAATGACTTTGGGTACCTATGATTTCCTTTCAAGTAATTTAAAGGCAATCACTGTTCTTGGTCAATATCTAATAAGCAATATTATGGGATGTGTGGATAGTGCAACAGCTATGTAGGCCTACAGTATAATTGGGAAGCTGAGTTTAAATACGCAATTAGACAATTTCACTTTTGCACTAATATCCAAGAGAAAGACATGAAATCATCTCTTTTCATTCTCAGCTGTGGGTTAAATAGCAGAGTAGACTAGGCTCTCCAAACTTGAGTGGCAACCAGTCTAGAAGGATAACTCTGAATTCTCAACTTGGCAAATGCAACAGGAAAATACTCCACTGTTTTCCTCAGGAAGTTATGACAATTCACAGATGAAGAAATGGAATCTGTGCGGAGAGCCATGATTGCTTATTTCCTGATGGAACATGGCATTAAAAAAGAAAAAATACAGTGTTGTACTTAATAAATTTCAAAAAATTAGATTGGAAATGTGCTAATGAAATCTTGAATTTTCTGGCACTATATTTATCACATATTTTGAATGTGATCACAATTTTGATGCTAAATGTTTTGCTGATTGCAAGAAATATAAATAACAGTTCATTATATGTTTTTTTTGTAGGGAGAATTTGCAATCATCAGATGTCATTGGGCCACCTTAATCCATTTTCCATGCCAATTGAGATGAAAATATCATGGGATATGATAGTGAATTCTATCACAGTGAATGCTATCATAACTTTTAGCACATATATATATATATATATATATATATGAGTGTGTGTGAGGCACATGTTAAAACATGTGGCAGTCTGCAGTTCCTTAATGATTGTAGCCAGTGGCATGTAGCTAGAATTATCTGCACAACAGACAAGTGACACTGGCTTGAACTACATTCATATTCAATTCAGGAAGTACCAGATGCATATCCAGTTGTTCAATTACAAATTCTTTGGCTTCCATGGAATAAGGTAGCAGAAAACCTACCAAGGTTCCCATGCTAAGACCATGACACCAGACCAAGTGCCTCACTTGGGCTTGTGATATTGCTAATTTTACCCTAGAGGACTGGTAATATATATGATCTGAATTGTTGACTGTTTCAGTTGTTAAAGCTGATGGTAAGGTTGGTTGCAGTGCCACCTTCATTAAACTATGGATCCCAGTTGTCAAAAGTATTGCTGCAATTTGTGGGTTGTTAGCATAGGTTGTGTCTGCTAGTATATATAAGCATCTCATTAACATTTAACTGCTATGTTGCACTGTTTCGTAATCATTTGCAGCAATTTATAGACTCTGATGGCTTATTCCAGCAGGATTATAACCTGCATGATTGAGTTCAAGTTATCCAGAATTGTTTTGAGGAATTGATTTCAAAGACTGATCTGGCCACTACATTTGCGTGACATATATCCAACTGAACATTTATAGAATATGGTGAAGTGATCTGTTCATATACAATATCCTGCACTTACAAACATTGGTGAGCTGTGGATAGCTATCAAGATTGTACAGTTCTTAAGAAGTCTTTGAACCATTTATGAAATTGGTGTCATGTTGAATTGTTGTATTTTGCTGGGTTAGGCAGTCTTCTACATGATATGGGGCACTTATCTCATAACTCTTGGCACATCAAAGAATGTTTGTGTTTGCATATAATGCACACATGTTAAAACATATGGTACATGATGTAAAATAACCTAAATATTGATAGTCTGAAGGGATATAATTTTAATCTATGCTTTCTAAAATTCATGTAACTGAAGTTATTTATGGTTGATCATAATGATTAACTTTTCTTTGTCTGTTTTTAAATTTTGTTGAAAATGTGACCTTTTTTCCCCCATTTTTTTTTGTCAAATACTGATAATTATTTTTCCATATTCTAGTTTATTGATTATGGTTGGTAAATAAAAAAAATTGCCAAATTGGTTGCAATAATTATCATTTGAAATAAAGTGTCAATTAATAATCAATATAACAAACACTTCTCCCTTTTTTTCTTGTCCCACATTCTATTCTTAACTACTTGTTTATTTACATTGTTTTATATTTCTTATTCTGGTGAATTGTCTTTCAATTTGTCTGCTTTGGTTAATCATCCAGTCAATTATCTATCGAATGATTCAAATTGAATCTTAGCACATATCATGTTGTAATCATTTTAATAAGTCACCAAGAACATTGTTTTCAGAAAAAATGCCTCTTATTTACTAAAATAAAATTTTAGTATTTTTGTAGATGTATGTTATATATATATATATATATATATATATATATATATATATATATAAGTGGGCTTCTTTTACATATCCTCTATTTCTGATATTAAACTTTTTACCCATAATTATAGCATACTTTAAAACTAAATTTGAATCTCTGTTTTGTCTGGTTTCCGCACATTGAGAGTGCTTCTCTTGACTGAGAAAAAAAAACTGGTGTTATATAGCTCCCTTAGTACCAGACTCATGCTGGATATTGGCTAATACCTGCCTAGTATCGTTCATATGCAAATAGTCAGTGTCACCTACTCTCAATAGGTCTTCTCTCAACAGTCCATTGTGGAAGAGAACACAACTCCTGAAGTTTATAGCAGCACATACAACTAACCAACTTGGAGTCTTTTATTGGACCCAACCAATTCTATATTATATATATATATATATATATATATATATATATATATATATATATATATATATATATATATATATAATTCAGATAATAACTAGATGACAGGTTATGGATTTATTAGAATAGATCAGTAAGTTCATAGCCCGACAGTTGTTAGCAGAATTTTTAATATTTTGATATCAGTAATCACTTCATTTTGAATTGAATAGAACCATGAAGATTTCAATGAATATGACTGCTTCAAAGAAAAAGAACAGACAAAATGCTTTGATGTGATATTTTCACAGATAAAATATATTTTCTGCACTGTTAAGAAAATAGTTACCAAAGAATACTTTTTCATTCTTTCATTATTTTTTTTTTTATTTGTATGGTTGTGCTTTAATTTAAAGAATCAATGAAATTGTTAAAAAAGAAAGAAATCTTATCTAACTAGATGTTTCAATCATTAATGACAAAAATGTTATTCCAGTAATATTGATATTTGAAACTTAAGATAGTGTATGTAATATCATTTAGTCAATGAAATTTTTAAGAAACGAAAATATTATTTAAAGAAAAAAATATAATTTAAAAGGAAATCAGAAGTGACATGTATAGATGGATGGAGGGACATAATAACCTGTTGACAAATTTTCTATTTGACTCTCAGTTGTTAAAGTTTCAATTGGAACTTTCGAAATTGATAATTGATTTTATTCCTTTGTACAGAAGGAATAAGTAATTGCTTCTAAGGAAAGAAACAAAAAACTGAATTGTAACTAATCCAAAAGGTTGAAGTTTTTGTTTTAGTTTATTTTTAATATGAGAATATTGTTTTTATTTATTTATTTATTTATTTTTTTAGTAAAATTAGCAAGGGGATGAAAAAACAAATGTTGAAACCTTAAGCAGCACTAAAGTAGCAACTTGTAACCTTGTTTTTGTATTAATCAATAAAGCCTTTAAATTTCCATTGCATAAGACATTCAGTGTTTATTATGGAGATGTAATGGGAGTGCTTGAAAGAAAGATTTACACTTTTATTTATATTTCTCTTGTTATGGGCATTATTATATCCATGATATAATAACACTAATATTTTATCGAGGGAACAGAATGGTCGAAAGGAAAAAAAAAATGACAAACATGTTTTGTTCTCAGAGAGATTTTTAAACTAATAAGACATACACAAAACTATATATACATATATACACATATGTCCCACACAGAGAATAATATATCACATATATCTATAAAGCAAAGTAGAGTGTAAAGAGAAACAAAAATGAAGGATGTTTACCTATAACATGGAGATACTCCTAGGATTGTAGAAGCCATTTTTAGTACTCCAGATTCAAACAGGCTGGATTCATCTCTGTCCCAGGTGAGGATATATTCCATGAACAGGGAAATGGAGTCTTGAGTTTCCCAAATTGAGGACTGTGAGCTGGAGTGTCATTTGATACCTAGGAAAGACATATTCTCAAATGGAAATGGAACCCTGGATTTGTAAGCTGCTGTGGAGGCAGCTTTAGCCTCTGCCTGGGCTAAAGAAAGCAACCTTTCACCTTGGCTACTGAAAAAAAACTGAAAAATGACCAGTGCTTTCGTCGCTGTATTGAGTGATGTCATTAAATGACTGTCATGTGACCCATGTGATTTATCTCCACCAAAGGGAGATGAGCACTTTCTGTATCCTTTTCAAAGACTAAACACATAATCTTATGGTGTCAGTAAGTTGAATCAATTTTTGTTAAATATGTTAGAGTTCTGGTAATCTATTTTTGTAAATTCATACTAAATTTTCATGCAGCTGTGATAAAAGTATTAGTACTTTGGATTAAAACAAAAGTTTGTAGGGTTTTTTTGGCAAAATCACATTGAAACATTGATTCTTCTATGATCACCAGAGTACTTGGATTGGTGACTATTTGGGAATACCAAGTTTGTATCATTTTTTATAGGTGGCATCTGTATACATAACTTTGTTTCACATGAGACTGAAATTTGACAGTTACATATTCAGAAAGGTGACATTTCAATGTGTCTTTCTAGATGATTTGTGCATGGATTGTGAATTTTAAATATTTTTGTTAAAAGTGAAAATGGAGGAAAATCAGATGTATTGTTTTTATCATTTGATATAATTTTATTTCTGGAAAGGAAAAATGCTGTACAAATTGCAAAAAAAAAAAAAAAAAATGTACTATTTAGGGAGATGGTAGCAGAGCTTAGTGTACTGTATATAAGTGGTTCACAAGGAGAAATTCTGATCAGTAAAACTGAGAACATTCTGGCAGTCCTGCAGATATTGAAGAGGAACAAATCAAAATAGTGATTTAAAAAAAAAAAAAATCAGGTCACATGACATGGGACAAACAACACAAATGGTCCATTGTACTCTCCTGACCTTGAAACTTTAGATTACTACATATTTTGATTCCTAAAAACATGTTTTTAATGGGGAGAAACACAGTTCTCTGAAAAAATATTTAGGCTAGTTTATCATGCTGGAAGGACAGGATCATGAAGCTGCTTGAAAGATGGTAAAAAGTAGTAGAACAAATTAGTATGTATATGATTGAATAAACCAGTATATTAATATCTAAATATTTTCTTTGAAATACACTTGAAAAGAGCTAAAAAACTTTGTTTCAAATCAGTATGTTGAATAGAGCATCAAATAAAATTAAATTTCAAAAGCTATTAAAGATTTACATGAAGTAAAACTTACAGTGTGTTATATTTCATGCTAAGGGAATAAATATGTAACACCAGGTAGATAATAGAAGAAAGATTTATTGTACATAACCAGTACAATATGAAATATGGTACAGTTGTTCACACAGGTCAATCTAGTAGTGAGTGCCACTAATTGGAAGGTTGGATGTGCTAGCGTCTTCTCGCTCTCTCTTCCCCAGTCTCTCGTAGACAGTTAACTTTATAGGTACTTCCAACCTATAGTGTAATCATTCATGGGGATGACTGGTTATTCCATTACATCACATTGCTAATATCTATATTCTAATATTTTGTTATTAAATACTATTTTTTTATTTGCAAAATCATGGCTTCTATCTAAAATACAGAAGTATTGATTTGATTGATGAATATACACAAATTTTAGCAGATGTAGATTTATATATCTTATGTTTGTCAATAAAAGCATCTGGAATGTATTTAGATCACACTGTTCATGACTGAAGTTTATTTTGGAACATTTGTTTTACTTTGTGGAAACCAAAAAGAAAAAAAATTGTGATTCATTTTGATTATTAATTTATTAATCATTTTGATTATTATGTTTTTTTTTTTTTTATGGAAGCTAAGATGAGATTTTTCAAAAAGCATTAAATCTTTCGAATTTTTTTCTTTTTAGTCTTTACTAAAATGTTCTTAAATTCTTCTGCTATGTTTTTTTTTTCCAGGAATTGACACTGCAGATTAACCACCTAACAGATGAAGCAAAAAATCGTAGAAATGCCTTGGACACAGAAGCAACTGAGACCTTGACAGCTCAGGTAATGTACTGTGTAAAATATAATCATTTATTTTGTGTCTAGGCAAGCACTCATATTTTTAATAGGTTCTCACTTACTGAGTATCACCTTAGATTCTAACCATTCTGGATTTTGGTTTCATTGAGCAAATATTAGCAGTTTGTTTGGAATTGCAAATTGTGTAATTATGTAAATTTTATTACAGAAATAATTGGCTTCATCATTTTTTGGAAATTTTACTTTGAGAAGAGCAGTTTTTAAGAAATAAAAAATCAAAACACTTAAAGATTTGTTCAGTCTTTCTTTATGCCTTAGAAATATTAAAAGTCTAATTATTAAAACATTTTTTTAAGAATGTGCATCTTCATTTTTCTCAAATTCATTCTTTCTCATTTATAATTTTAGTAAATCCCTAAAATAAAATAATGAAATTATTTAGAGATTTGGACTATTGCAACATTCATAGTTCATCATGGTCACAAGTAAATAAACTTCAAATAGTTTTATAAGGTGCTTCCAAAAAGTCTGATTCCCTATATGCATGTTTTCTCACAAGACATAAGTTTATTTGGAATGTAAGGTTTATTTAAATTGAGAATTTCTTTTAGAAAAGTTATTGAAATCAAATTGTAGCATTGTTTTAGAAAAAAATCTTAGTAAACTTGTTTTCTGAATTGTTTTTTCTGTATAACAGATAGATGGTTAAACAGTTGGGAAGTTAATAAGGAATCAGTTAAGGTATAAAATATCAGGAAGCATGATCCATTAAGTGTAAAATTGATAATGCTAAAGGCCATGTTTAGTTACAAGCTGTAATTACTGTTTTAATCATTTTGTGTGTTCTCTCTATTAATTCATTAAACTGTGGATGATAAACAGTTGTTCAGTATATGAAACCAGTAATTGTTGGCAAATTTAGAGGTAAATTAATTGAGGTTTGATTGAAGATATTAACACATTGTATAATACTACTCTTTGATATTTTATTTTCTCATCACTGGCAGAAAGATTGATGTAGGATTTGGGTCCCAAACAATTCTGTTCAATAGAGAAATTGTTAATATAGAAGTACTCAGTAGTGTCAATAATAAATTATATTTTAATAGCTACTAGTTATCCATTGAATTCAAGAAGTGATGGATCTGTTTGATGTAATACAATCCATTCAGTTTTCTGGGAACAGTAGCTGAGGGCCAGAAATTAGTTAATTTTTGAAAGTTTCGAATGATGACTATTGAGAGTAATTGTAAATTGATGCTGTCTACTAATTAAAGTAATTTTTTAAGGATTAACAATTTAAGAAACATGGATATATAAGTTTTGCATTAATGAACAGTTTAAAGTAGTAATTCTTACTATGAAAACTGATTTTGGTTTTTCCATGAGAAAAATATTTTCATTTAACCTTTAGTAACCCAAATGCCAACAAAAATTAAGATAAGGATTTTAAAATATGTTATAGCAAGGTCTGTGCCTGAATTGATATATATATATATATATATATATATATATATAAGTATTTTTTAGGAACTGAGGCATATTAGGAAAGAATTAAGCATCCATTTTTACTTCTGTATATAAAATACATCAGAATAATCCTGGACAAATGTTTATTATTTTCATCTTTTAACACTTATTATTCAGTGAAGAACATAATGGTTTATATTTTTTATCTTATCCACTAAGTCAAAATTGGAAAGTTAAACCCATTTTTGCCTTAATTTGATTTCCTCTTTGTCTGATCATGCGAATGTTTTGTGTCAACAAATCAACTGTCAGTTTTAGCAACTGATAAATGGCCATGACTGATTTGATTTTTATCATTCTAACTTTTGAAACTTGGAATATCTTTTAACCAAAATAGTGCCAACTTCTCTCTATGACTGTGAGAAAAATTGTTATTTCCCACATTTTTTAAGCTTAACTTTATCAATGTTAAGACTTCTTGTATCAGAGATCAACATAATTCTGACTTTCTCATGAAAATATATTTTTTTTGTTGTGAACATGAGACATTTTGTTCAGGTGGGCAATCGTCAGTTTTTCAGAATATGAAGGAACATTGCCTTGTCTAAATATACACTAGCCACAAACAGCAATTAAGTTACTGTAAATATTTCTTAGAAAATGATGTTATAAAAGGAACTTTAAATGGTATACTTATCCTACAAACATCCTGAAAGTTTTACCAATAGTATTTGGTTAATGCTTTTTATAGTGAAAACATTGACTTGGGTAATAAAATCTGACATGATGTATAAGGTTAATACAACAATGAATTTTAATACAGGTCATTGATGACACTTGGTGATAAATTGGTCTGTAGTTAATTTTGCAGTCTTTTTATCTTTCTTTAAGCATTATTGTACTTTTTATAATTTATGTGGTTTCTTTACATTTGATACATTTTGTAATATCTTTGTACACATTTTGTTTCTTATTTTTAAGGTTTAAGTCAAACACTGCATACCACAGTACAGTTGGTTTAATATTTACTAAATGCACAAAAAAACAAAACACAGGTGCAAAAAAAAAACATTTTCATTGCAAAACATACCAAAATATGTACAAATACAAAACATTTTATTAACTGCTGGTGCTTGGTTGTGGATCATTGATGTTATCAACTGTGGCAGGGCTCAGGGTAAATGGTTTAGTGTTTTTTTTTTTTTTTTTTTTCACAAACATAGTGAGTCTTTTCTGAATTGTTTGTTCTTTTTCTCCCCATAAATTTCACAATATGGATGAAACAAATTGTGTGTCATCTGTTTTTGTAAATTGTTTGATGTTCACAACAGTTGAATCAATCATATCTAATTGTTATAAAAAGTTTGATTATTAAAGGGCGAAAAATTGATCTATGATGCAGAATGTGATTGATTCATGAAGCTATTTTCTATTGAAATTGATTATAGATATAATTTTATTTATACTTAGGCAAATATAAAAAAGAATCATTATCTCTTTCTGTATTTTGTTATTTGACTTTTTTGAACATTACTGTAAATCAACTTCTATTGTTTTTTCTGTTGAATTTTAATAAAGTAGAAGAAAAGGAAAACTGTACATTGTAATCATAAAAATAATTTTCTTGCCTGCAATGAAAAATGCCTTCCAAAGTAAGGATTTCTTAGGTAGAGATAATTTTAGCACAATGCACACAGTGAGAAACAAGCTAAAAATATAATTTAGACAGTCTGTTTTTAGAAAACCACATCTGTCAGGTATCAAGTTTGAAAAAAAAAAAGAAACAAAAAAAACACATTAACGGTGGCTTGAAAGAGGACCCATTGCTTAACTGAAGATGTTTCTAGCTTTTCAAGTGTGTAAGTTTTCATAAGAAGGAAAATATTAATGAATTAAAGATAGTTAAACTAGGTGATCACCTAAGTCACTAAAATTTCTTATAATATGATGCTGCTTAGTGTGTGCCAATTAATATAGCATAGTCATTTGAATAATGCATGTGTAAGTTTGTGTAATCTTTTCTCATCAAAAATTATTGGACAGAAAATGAGGTACACATAGTTTGGTTAGTCTACTGCATTGAAGACACTTTTGCTAGCTTTGATTAAAGGCTCTAAAAGTAAAGATAATTGTTTAAATTTATCATAGATGCTCCATTACTATGGAATATTTTGAAAATGATTTCTATTCATGGAAAATAGAACAGATAGTGGGGAGATAGAATATATGAAATGAATAGAGAAGATAAAGGTATTCTTTTAACCAAACAGTTTAGTCTAGACATAAATATTGTCAAGTGTACCATTTTCACAACAAATTTTTTAAAAAGATTTTAGGCTTAACATATGACATAATTGTTCCTCACTCAATTGGCTTAGGACACCCATGTAGTCAACTGGACTGTAGATGATTTCATCTGGTCCAAAAGCAACTGATGGTTTATGACTATCAACTGTCAGTAGCAAAATTGAGATGAGAGAGCTTCAAAGCAACCACCCACTGTCCATAAATAAGGAAAAAAATTTAAAAAAATTGGGGATCAAATGCCACTGTGACACCATTTAGAGTTGCTAGAAGAAGAAAAGAAAAAAAGAGAGGCGAGAATTAAAATTTAGATGATAAAAAGCCATCACGAAAAGGACACCAAGCAGTGTTATTTTTCTGACAAGGAAAAGTGGTAATATTTTTATTTCCTATTGTCGAGAAGAAAAAAAAAGAAGATACTGGAATTAATCTAATTTGGGTTACGGGTCGGGTGGAAGTTCCAGGTTGGCCAAATAACCTCAGAGACAGAATTCTAAATAGATAAACATTTAACTGTCACGGGAATGCCATTTGGGGCTTCCACAGAATTCTAAAGAGATAAAGATTTAATAGGTCATCCGCTGACCGAGAAACAAGAATGTCCGTTGACCACACAAGAGTTGAAAAACAAAAGACCAAACCATAAGTTAAGTCTTTGTCGATGGGAAGATAGCGTTTGGACAAGGCATCTGCTTTGTGTTGAAATTCGGCTATGACATCGAAACTATTTTATCAGAAATTGGCACCAAGAATGCAAACTACGTTTAATTGACCACCCACTTGATAATTGGCGAAAATTTCGTTGACGACTTCCCTATGAATTTGGCTGTGAATTGGCAAAATTGTTTTATCGTATCAGTAGTTGGCGCCAGGAGAGTGAGTGTGTCTGGTTGACCACCCACTTGTTAATTGGTGAAAATCTCATTTGATGAATTCCAGGTAATTCGGCTAAAAGATAAAAAGTCTAGGGTGTGAGTTTTCCTCGAAGGGAAGAAAGAAAAGGAAAAGTGAAAAAAGAAAAAAAAGATAAAATTTTTTTTTTTTTCTTTGAGCAAGATTTTTTTAAAACAAGGCTAGTCTGGTCACACCCACATTGCTGAGCGCTCATTGGCTGAATGATAACGAGAGCCAGGCGGAGGTGATCATGTGAGGCAGGGGAGGAGGCCTGCTGGCACCCATTGAGGGGATAGGTGTGAGATGTCACTGTGAGAGAGAGGGAAAACCGTTGACACCCTCTGAGGGCATGGTGA